CCCCCAAAGCCCCAGTAGATAGTTGTATGTCATAGCTGCACATCCTTCCAGTTGCTGTATGTGGGACGCGGCCTCAGCATGGCCGGAGAAGCGGCGCGTCAGTGTGCGCCCGGGATCTGAACCTGGGCCGCCAGCAGCAGAGCGCGCACACTTAACCACCAAGCCACGGGGCCGGCCCCCTCCATTTTAAATGTAATAGTTTTGAACCATGATAGAGAATGATGTCCTCCCATACTTATCAAAAAAGTCAAAGAATTCCTTCATTCCTTTTCCTATTATGTGGCATGCATTGTTTTAGGCATGGTTGATACAGATAGAAAAGACAGTTCTTACCCTTGAGGAGCTCATTGTATGGAGTAGACCAATATATAAAGAGACAGAGTATAATACTGTGCAATAAATATTCTAATAGAGACTAATTACGTAGTAGAGAAAAAGTTGATATAATTTCTTTTCATTTATTTATTTGTTCGCTCACTCACAAATAATTGCTGAGGGTCTACAATGTGCTAAATGCTTGAGATATAAAAGATAAGTGGGAGACAATTTGTTTTTAACTTTATAGTTTTAAAGTACTCAAACTTTTTGGTCTCAGGATGCCTTTACACTCTTAAAAAATATTTTAAAGACCCAAAAGAGTTTTTGTTTATGTGGATTATATCAACCAATATTTACCATACTAAAAATTAAAACTGAGGAAAATATAAAATATTTGTTCATTCATTTAAAATAATAACCAGCCAATTACATATTAACATAAAACTATTTTTTAGGAAAAAACAGTCTCTAAAACAAAACAATTTAGTGAGAAGGGTAGGATTGTCTTACATTTTTTGCAAATCTCTTTAATATCTGGTTTAATAGAGAGAGTCCCATATCTGCTTCTGCATTCAATCTGTTGTAAATGTTCTTTTGATTGAAGTATGTTGAGTAAGTCTGGTCTCATACAGATTAGAAAGGGAGTCATATTTTAATAGACTTTTTACATAGTTATGGATACTCTTCTTTGTTAATATACCAAAAGTCCACAAGTGGTAATTTCTTAAAGATTGGTTGCAATGGGGAATCTGAAACCAGATAAATGAATTTATTATATATTATTATATTAAAATTCATTGATCTACCTTGTTCTTTGAAGGATCTTTTACTCCTGCATGATTTTGTAATCTAATTCATTAATCATTTGAAAAGTATTAGTTCACTGTTTTACCCACCAATGATTTTCCATCATCAGTACAAATGTTGACACAGTGAAAAAGGCAAATAAGCCTTAGTACTATTATAAAAACAGTTTTGACATTGCAGATCCCCTGAAAGGGTCTTGCAGACTGTCAGAACTTGTGGACCACACTTTGAGAACCACTAGTCTGTTGAATGTAGGAGAAAGAGGGTAAGAGAGTACAATTTGGAATCAGGTTGTCCAGGTTCAAACACAGCTCTGCTACTTACTCTCAGTGTGACCTTGGGCACGTTGCTTAACTTCTCTAAGCCTCAGTTTCTTCATGCATAAAATGGGGTTACAAACAGTTCCTACTTCATGGAGTTGTGATGAAGATTAAAATTAAATGAGATAATGCTCATATACGTTGATGACTATGACAGTGATTACTCAGAGAATTGTAATACAGTGTGATACATGCTAAAATAGAGGCAGGGCACAGAGTAGTGAGAGGATCAGGGAAGGCTTTGTGGAGGAGGGGAGGCTGGGCAGAGTCCTAAAGAGGATCATTTGCAGCTGGAGGAATACCGTTTCCCTCTCCTCCAGCTTTTCTTCCTCCATTTTCTATTTTGGAGGGTGGTGCCTTCATCTATTCAGTCTCCCAAACCAGAACCCTGGGAGAGTGTGTTGAGGAAGCCAGGAGCAGAGAAATTCAAAAGAAAGGGAGTGATTAACAGTGCCAAAACTATGGAACGCAAAATGAATGTTTGTCATGGGTGGACAGTATGGGGCTCATAACACACATTACCCCAGAGTATCTGTTCTGCCATTTTATGAAAAGGATTTTATTAATCCCTTTTAACCAATGAGGAAAATGAGACTAAAAAGGGTTAAGTAACTTGACCAAGATCACACATCTATTAATTGACAGATCCAGGTTTTGAATTAAGTCTCATTTGGTTACAAAGCTCTTACTCTTTCCATAACACCATCAGTAGCTTTATAAAAACACCAGCTCCAGATTAAAGTTTCATTTTACAAACTTAAATTTCTTGGTTTGGCCATCCCTTTTTGCATAACAAAGAAACTTATATAGTATTTGGTACTGTATGCCATCTTAACCTTTTATTTTATTTATTAGCAAATGAGTGTGTCCAAGAATAAAGTGATACAATTGCATTTTCAAGTCATTTTCTAGAATTCAGACTTTTATGTAAATCAGACTGGTTTTATCATCTGCTAACTTGAGGCAAAAATTAGCCTCAATCCAAGTTTTGACTGCCAGTGCTCCATAATCCCAAATAATCTTGGTTTAAAACTGAGTAATACCCAAATATGGCTATAAAGATACTCTCTTGAAGACTTGGTGAGATACAGATTAAGTCAGTGAGACATTTTTAAGGAACACAAAGCAGGTGTCGGAATGATATTTTGTGAGAATTTTTCATTTGGGCTTGGGATGGAGCTGGGGTGTCTGAGTGGTCTTCTTGAGACCTCTGGGTCAGCTCTTCTCTGAGGACCTGAAGTCAGGCTTCTGGAAGAGCATCATGCCGGCAGGAATCCCATTTCTCAGGACCAGAGAACCTCAGGTTGGGCAGAGGTCAGATGTTTCAGTGGGCCTTGACTCTGTGAATGTGTGGTGGGGTCAGATTGGAGCCTTCTTATTTCTTTAGAGTTGGTGTCTAATAACTGTGGGGTAGCTATATTTTCTGAGACAAGGGCTGAAGAAAATAATTTGCCAACCTTTGCACTTTTCTTAAGTCAATTTGAGTTACTTTTTCTAAATCTTCCGAGAAAACTTACTACCTCTGCTTAATTTCAATCATGCATTTCACAATCATTTTGTTGTCAGAGAGAAAACATTGCGTGACTTTAAACTTTGGAAGGACCAATAAAAAGAGCATTCTTGTACACTTACGTTTTCCAACAGACTGTGCTTGAGGAACTTCCTGAAGCTGTATCAAGTATTTTCCAGGTTGAACAAGAGGATACATCAGAATGGGGCGTCTTAGAAGCAGAAAGCCTACTATTTAAACCTCAGGAAACTTTGGAAGTTCAGCCAGCAGATGACTCAAGTAAACGTTTGGAAGATGAGCAGCCTACCGGTGATTCAGAAGTGGCCAAAAGAATGTCATTAAAGGTAAAACACTATTTATGTTGGAAGCAGAGTTATGAGAATTGAGGATGTGTAGGTGTGAAGAAATGGCCCAGCCAAGGGCCAAGGCATGGGGGCGGGTTCACCCTGAAAAAAGGGCCTCAGGTGTGCAAATTGCTTATTTGGGAAAAGGGGACATCTGTTTTGTGAAGGCTTTTAGTCTCAAGCCTAACTGCAACTCTGGGGAGAGAAGACAGATTTTTAAGGAGGGAAAGAAGTTCAGAGCTTTCAGAAATTGACCTGAGAGTTTTCCCGTTACCATCAAGGGAGTCAGGCACTGTAGTCCAGGGACCAGGACCGGGTGTGTAGCTTTTGTAACTTTGCCCCGTTTAAGTTTGTCCTAACCCCTGAGTCTTTTCCTATTGTGAGAGTGTTTCCCAGATTCATTTTATTTATGTATAACTTAAATAATTTTTACCATATTTGCATATCACCTTACTACTGTTTACTTAGTACTTTTCCTTAATTCGAGTCACTTTTTGACTTAAATATGTTTATTTAAAAATAGACACACTATTATTAGGATTTAAAAAAAAGCCACTTTTCCCTGAACCACAGCTATTATCTTGATTATCACCAGGGATCCTCCCTCTGATTGATTCAAATGGATACCACTTCTTGCGCAGACAACCTTCCTGGTCAATACCTCTCCTTTTGGGTCCCCCTCTCCCCACCAATGACCATGTTCCTACTATGCTTTACCCTAGTCAACTGGCCATTAACAGTTCTTCAACTTTTGCCCCAAACTCCCAACTCTGAAACCTTGCATTTATCCGTGACCTTCCCCTTCCCTTGCCTTTCACGTATAATCAGTCACCAAGGCCTAGATTCCTCCTAAACATTATTGCTTATAATTTTGTTCTTCTCTTTTCTGCTTGCTGCCATCATAGTCTGGATCCTGGTGACCTTATCCCTGGATTAGTACAGTTGCCTCCTGATTTTTCATTTCTCAAGCCCTACTTTCTTAGGCTCATCCTGCATGACACTAGCATATTGATCTTCTGAGAATAATAGGTAATAAGGAAGGTCCACAAGTCATAGTTGCCCAGAGAAAATCCACCACTGCCATCAGGGGGAACGGACTTATGCTGTGATTGGTGACCGACTCCTTCAGAAGTCATGCTGTCTTTTTTTTGTGTGTGTGTGAGGGAGATCAGCCCTGAGCTAACATCTGTGCTAATCCTCCTCTTTGTGCTGAGGAAGACCGGCTCTGAGCTAACATCTATTGCCAATCCTCCTCCTTTTTTTCTTCCCCAAAGCCCCAGTAGATAGTTGTATGTCGTAGTTGCACATCCTTCCAGTTGCTGCATGTGGGATGTGGCCTCAGCATGGCCAGAGAAGTGGTGCGTTGGTGCGCGCCCGGGATCCGAACCTGGGCCGCCAGCAGCGGAGCGTGTGCACTTAACCACTAAGCCACCGGGCCGGCCTCATGCTGTCTTTTTCAAGCATGCACTTGGGGTATGTGAAGCCTGTCAAGGCTAAGTGAATCCACTCATTGCTAACTACTCCAGGTGAATCCTGTGTATTAGGCTGACACCTTCTAGGTGTGGAGACCTTAGAAAGCATCTTTAAAGACTATAGCATCTTGATGAAAAAGTGTTAGGCTGATGGGCACAGGTGGTGTTTTCATCTATTCTTCTACCTGGACATTGGAACTTTGGAAATAAAATGTGTGCATGAGAGGCAAATGGTTAGCTACTAAATGTGTCAAAGAATGAAACGAATTTTCTGGACAGTGGTTTAACCACCACGGCCTGTCAGGGACTTAAATCCGTCGTTAGAGAAGTCCCATAATGTTAATTCTTTTGGTTTGTTGTGGCTGCTATTAAATATTATTAAAAATTATGCAAAATTATTTAATTTTGGTAAAAAGAGGCAGTCCTTTCCTAAAGTAGCTAGAATTTGTTGAGTGTTTACCATGTACCAGCCACTTTGCAAAGTGTTTTACATATATCTTATTTTTTCCTAATAACAACCCTATTATTACCCTCATTTTATAGTTGAAAAAACTGAGTCATAGAGAAGATAAATAACTTGCCCAAGTACAAACATCTAGTTGAGTTATAGAGGCAGGACTTGAACTGAGGTGGTTTAATTCTGGAACCTTCACTCTTTACCATTCTGCAACACTTCCCTTTCATAACAATTAACAGTATGAGAACACAGACTCACAGCTGCAATTTGACTAGGGATGGAGTGTCCCTCACAAAACTAGGAGGAATGGTTTGATGAGAGAGACTTGGAGAATGGGTTAAGAGGGCTCTAAACTGAAACCAGAGTGTTTTAAGGGGAGGAGAAGAGAATGCCTGATAAGACTTTATGGTTTATTGTTGTGGGATATTGTGGGACACATCAGAAATGCTATAGAAAATAGCACTGGAAGTCTTCCTATGACTTATCCCACCAAATCTTCACCAAATATCTTATATTTATTTATTTGTATTAACATCTTAAGATCAGTTATTATCCATGAACTTTACCCTGTTTGGACATTTGAGGCCATAAAGTTATTCTCGAGCATCTCTGGCACAGGAATGAGGAATAATATATTCCAGCAAGCCAGACCAGATTGGGGGGATAAGAAGACCTCTTTTGACCTAGCTAATAGAATTAGCACAGAGGTGTGACAAAGGAGCAATGCAGGACTTCCACTGCTCAGATGTATGCCAGAGGTCTCATTCAGCAAAAAAGTAGAGAATTGGTCAGTCCTTACTTTATTGACCATTTCTACTCTTAGAAGCTCAATAGTGTAATAAAAGTTATTAGGACTCTAGTCTAAGTCGTGACCAACAAAAAGAAAAATTAGATAATGGCGACTCTGTGAAGAAATGACTGACACAAGAGCCCATGAGTGGATTGTTGAGCATTTTAGGAGGGAAAAAGGTCAAAAGTCTGTAAAAAATATGGATATCACATGTCCTGAGATTCTCAATGGAAGGAAGTTTAAGAAATGTGGGATGCCCTAAATTTTCTCAAAACAATTATGAGTGATCTATTGCATTCAAAGTTTTAAAAATATACAAAATATGAAAGAAGAAATACATATCCCTAGATAAACATGAAAGTGGCATGTGGCTATAACAATTATATCAAGAAGGGCTAAGATCCAGAATGGGTTGAGGCCTGTGAATAAGCTAAGAATAAAAAAGTATTTTTTTCATGTTAGTTTTGGAGCAAAGAGAGAAAAAAGGAAGGATAACCCCGTCATTATGGATGAATACTGTGATGACAACAGATGACAGAGCAGCCTTAATTTATTTTTGGAAAAACGTTGAGGTTTTAAATAAACTGAAAGATGACAAAGAGAAAAGGAAGCTGATAAACTCATACTTTGCTTCTCTTAAATCTGACAAGGAGAATGATCTTTAGTTTAGAAAGAAGAAAAAAAGAATTGATAAAAGAAACTTGAAGCCCAAGATTGGTAAAAGATTTTAAGAGTTAACTTAGACACCTGATCCCGTGGGCTCAGGTAGATAGGTTTCAGCCTATTGTGCCCCTGTCAGTAGCAGCTTTGAGGAGCTGCTGCAGTGGGAGAGGTGCTAGAAGCCTGGAGACTAGCGACTGCAAATCTGAATTTTATTTTTTTTAAGGGTAAGTGTTATGCTTTCTGTAATATATGCATTGATCTTGGACAAAACTCTGGAATGATTAAATGAATCATTAAAAGAATTGTGTTTGAACATTTATAAAAGGAAGCGATAATCACTTGGAGCCAGCAGAGTTCCCTAAGGACAAGCCATGGAAGACCAACCTTATTTCATTTTCTAGAATTACTAGACTGAACATCAGAAAAGTGTTAGCCCTGGAGTTCAACACAAGAGTATCATGTGAAGAGCCTGGCATACAAGAAAACTCAATAAACTTGAGATACTCTTATTACCCTTGGGGTTTCTGCAATCCATTCATGAACGCCTCCCAACAACAGTTTTGCAGACAAGACTGCAGTCAGGGTACCAGCTAGATGGATTTGTAACTGGTTATGCAAAGGATGCACAATTAGTCATGAAAGTCCCTAGCAGACTGCAATAGGGCTGCATCTAGTTCAGCAGATTTCCTAATAATTTTGATGAGAATATGGAAGATTTACTGATCAGATTTGCAGATAACATCCAAATGTGACTGGTAAGATTTCGTTGGTCAGACCTCAGATGAAATTTAATTGGGATAAATGTGTGTATGGTTCTGCCTTCAGGTCCACAAACTAAGTGCATAGATATGGGATGACATGACTTAAAGCAAATGTGAAAAAGACTTCAGGGTTTTAGGCTATAATTTAGTGTTGTGATAGGAAGACAAGTGCAGTCATAGTTGGCGTTGATTGACAAATACCATAAAAGAGGATCGTCTTTCTCCTGGTTGATCTGATCATGTCACACCTCAAATATTGTGTTCAGATCTGGGTGTCCAAACCTGGGAGAGATACTGACAAATTGGAGACTGGAGGAGAGCATTCAAGATGACAAAGCACAATACTTCAAAACAATGTCGTGTAAGGTAGAGTCGAGGGAACTGGGGATGCTTATCTAGGGGAAAAACAGGCCCAGGGGAGTCAACTGTATTCAAATATTTGTCTGTCAAATGGAAGAGAGCCAGATTGTGGCTGTATGATCCTGAGGTTTGAATTGAGATTAGTGGATGAAAGTTGTTAGGTTCAATAATAAAAAAACAAACAAAAATTCTAACAACTGGAAGAGTTTCAAAGAGAAAGTGGCTGCCTTTGGATGTATCCAAGTCCTCTCTTCCTGATCCTGTTCAAGTCAGGATGGATGGAGACACTGTAGAGGAAATTCAAACATTAACTGGATGGTGAGATGGAATGCTCTGTACTCTGAGCTTTCCTTATTCATCATCGCTTCCTTACCCAAGACATTGCAGTAGCTCTAACCTTACTACTGCAGCGAGTCCAAACCCTCTACCTAAATTTATAAGAACCTCCCCGTATCTGGCCTCCTTCTACTTATTCAACCATATCTCTCTGCTTTCCTCAAGGAAAGCCTCTCTGCTTTATTCCTTAAATCCAGTCTCAAAAATATACAGAGCAACCCATAGAGGAAAACATCTTTCGATGAACTATTGCTGTGAACACTGCAAATTTTCTAAGCAATCTAGGAAAACAATACTCCCAAAGTCTATAATGATTAAAAGACAATTATTTAAGAGACAAAAATGCATTTGATCTTTCCCAAGTAGTAGAAATAGAAAACAGTACAATTGTAGGAAGTACAAATTGGTAAACATTGCTCAAAGTAGTTATATAGGGCATTAAAGTTCGCTTTGGCTTGTGCTTGCAACCACCAGTCATGCCAAATTCTGAGAGACTAAGGGTAAGTTCTATGAAAAATACCAATCCAGAAGAGTAGATTTATGGAAGGACAAAACCTTATATTTCTTCTTTAATAGTTTTAAGGCAATAAATAAAATTTATAAGTAAATATGGTGCTAATATTTTTATTGCTATAAAGGTGTATATGTAAAAGTTTAGGAATGAATTTAGAGGAAAATATCAGCTTACCTTTAGGATTTCTATTCTCTTATAAAATATACATAGCAATTAAGAGTTTAAATATAAGTTGGACTGTTAAATACGAGAGAAAGATCTAGCTCTCAGTTAACAACTTTCCTTAACAGCACACTTTATGTTTTTTTAAAGGTGAAATCATCAGAATTGTTGCAAATCAGAGGAAAAGAAGTTAAGCGGACACGAAAAAGTAAAGTAGGAATTCCAAAACAGAGACAAAGGAAGTCTCCAAAACCCCTGTGGGATCAAAAACTACCTAAAAAAAAGTAACTTCCTTAACTTTACAAATGTCACCATCTGAAGAGAAGTTTTCAGTAGCATTTATACCTTAAAATGCATTTTTAAAGGAAAATTAAATGTTTTAGGAATTCATGTGTGAGATCGAAGTTAAATCTCACAGGAAGAGTTTGTGGCAGATAATACAATTAGGATACATAGGCTGTACTCCATACTCCACACTTCTTTATATTCTTGTTTTTGACCAAGGTACTTAGTTTAATGACATAACAGTAGCTAGAATAAAAATAGCTCTTTGTGAGACAAAAGAAAATTGTGTTAACATGTTAGATTTGACATTTTTGGTCACTGTAATGCCTAATTTGCATTAACTGCTTATTATATTGCTTAATTTTGTTATGATAAAATAAAATAAAAGATAACCCAACACAAAACATCCATAGGCCAGTCGGTTTGGTAATTTAGATGGTCTTATTTTTCTCTACTATCATGTTCTGTTTCATCCCCCTCCTATGTTTTTAATAGAGTTTCTTATTACACAGGGGTACAACCACAGCTTTGAATAATAGTTTGTAAATGCAATTTAGATTTATGATTTACCTTTTGCCATTCACCTTGTTGAAACTGATTTTCTCCTTATTTCACCACTCGGTTTTTATGGGTTGGTTTATTCTAGATTCTTCTTCGTTTAACTCTTTATGGGGGCTTAAAGAAGCTTTAATTATTAGCTTTTGTTGTTGCTTAGGGCACTGAAAGGTGTGCTAGACACGCAAGACAACCTTTTTACGGCCAGCCTAAACTTTGTAAATGGATATTACTCACAATTTAGTAGCTGAGAATAGACTCATGGGAAAAGAATTCCAAAGTTTATGAAAGAGTCAAATTGGCATTTAAGTGACCCTGTACATGCCATTGCTTATCTGCATTGCTTGAAGCTCATTTAGTTAGCAAGATTATGTATTAAAACAAATAGCGACAGCAGACAACAAGTATTTTACCTTCAATAAATAGTTACTGTCAGATTATCAATGAAGCAGAAACTTCTTGATTTTTTTTTTCTAAAAACCTTGCCTTTAGTGCATTAAGCAAAGTAGCGTGGCCACACACAGAGTCAGAGTCTTTTCTTTTTTATGTCTTAGTGTTTCAAAGAATGACAAATCGTCCTGTTTAAGGAGAGGGTGCTGTAAAAACACACAGCCTTTCCTAAGCATGCCAAAAATATTTGTAGATCTTTTTGATATATATAGTACTGTGTTAATTCATTAGAGCCGAAGTCAGAAATTTCCATTAGAGAGAAATAAGAATGAGATGCAGAGGAATAAAAATCTGATATTTAAAAAAATTGTATAGTAAAAGAGAATTTTGGAAAAATGTTTCTGAAATCTTTTATTCACTGCTCTTTTTTCCTTAATCAATTTTTTACCTAACTTTTCTCACCAGTGACTAGCCCCCAAATTAAATTATTTTCTTGGCAATTTAGGTATCTCTTGAAAACGTAGTGTTATTTAGTTCAATAACCAAGGGATACTCACTGGCAGATCTATTTTATTAGAGAATGATGGGAACATAGGAATTTCAGATGGGTTGTGATGCTTTTTTAAGGAAAAAAAGTCTGTAATGTAATCTCAAGTACATTCCACTAGCCAGGACCTGTCCCAGACAGAATGATGATGTAGGCGAGCTTGACATCAGAGCTCACCTTTTTCTCCCTTCTTTTTTTCAGTCCTTTCTTAGGAACCCAGAGTGCCTGGGATCCCTGGGTTTTTGGCCACCCACTTTCACTCCACCAGTTAGGTCTCTGTCTCAGGCATTTCCAAATTCTTTAAATTTACCTCTCTTTTTCTCCCCCACACTCAAACATGTGTAAATTTAATGTCCTGATCTTGTTGGGCCCTGTGCTGTTTTGGAAATGAGATAAACTGCTCTCTTTCAGTGATTCAAGAATGTACATATCATGCCTAGCAATGCGTTAGGTGCTGTGCAGTGAAAATTACTAACGACAGCAATAAAAATAAAACAAGCATTTCTTGAGAGTTCCACAGACCAGGAACTGTTATTGATATCAATTCTTACAAAGGCAAGGGTTAGGGATTTCTATTCTCATTTTATAGAACACCTTCAGAGAAGCCAATGATACAGTTTGCAAGAGTTAGAACTGAGATTCTGATCGAGGCCCAGCCAACTCCAAAGTCTGTACTCTTTATATGACGCTACTCTCCAGACACACGGAGCAGTAGGTGGACAGACCAGCGTTAACCCATTAGATAAAGGGTCAGAATGGGCGGCACAAGAATAGGGCAATGTATAAAAAGAGGTATTTGTAAAAAAGAAAAAAAAAAGTAAATTTTGCAGGGAAGTTTGTCCTGGAGATATTGTTTGAAGGATGTTTAGACATGGACAAAAGGACAAAAGGATAGGCAGCATTCTATCCCTAACTGAAGGAACAGACAGGTCTTGCTGGCCTTGTGATTTTTCCTGGAGACTGATAAGAATAGCTAACATCTGCCATGTAAGAGATACTCTTCTGAATGCATTCAGTCCTCTCTTTCTTACAGCAACTTTATCCAGGATGCACCAATGTTGTTATTGCCAACTTACTGAGGCATAGAGAAATTGACTTGCTGATGGCCAAGTGATAATTTTAAACAGGATTGGAACATAGGCAGTCTGACTTCAGATTCTGTACTCTTGACCACTATGCTAGAAATAGGGCCAGATGCGAGGAGGAGAGGACTTAGGAGAGAGGAGTTTAGGTGGATGCAGCAAGCAACAAAGAACCATTGTACTGGGTAAAGGAGTATGTAAGAAGATCAAAGTGGTAGTGTTACCAATTTCGCCTCACTCCGGTGGGACTCCAACCCACATTTGGAGGAGCTCTGAGGAGGAGCCTGGGGGTGGGCCTCATACCCACAAGCCATCCCTTCCGCAGAGGGTTTTTCCCTGTTTGGTGTTGCTGATTTGAAACGAAACCGAAGGTGAGTGTTCAACAGCACAAGCTTTTATTCAATGGCCAAAGAATGGAGAAGTGGGAACTATGTTCACAAATCAACTTCTCAGCTCCTGGGATGATTAGGCAGCTGTTATAAGGGATCTAGGCAAGGAAGGGGAGGAACATTCACAGTTATTTGGGGAAATGGGCAGGCTTTTCTGGGGAGCAAGGGTGCCACCTCATTTCTTTCCTCATTTAGTTATATCCTGCCATTGCCATGGCAATTGTAAACTGTCATGGCGCCAGTGGGTGTGTTATGTAGCATGGTAATGTATTACAGTGAGCATATAATGAGTTGTGGGGTCTACGTCAGGTGAAGTCAGACTGCCATGTTGCCTTCAACTGGTTTTAACTGGTTTCAACTATATGTCTCAGCCACCTCCTCCTTCCTCTCATTGTGGTTTCCCGTAAGCTAAAGAGAACGTGTTAGGCTTGTTCTGAGCAGGGTTATGGTTAATGTCTTATGAGGCTAGGGGGTCGGGGTAACAGTAGAATTTTGCAGGGTGTATTGAAGAAGGGAAGAGACAGAGAGTGCAGTGCTCAACCCAACTGGCAGACCCTTGCTAATGCAGGCTGAGGTGCTGAGGACCTTGACTGGAGTGTGTTGGAAGTGAGGAGGGAGAAAGAACACACGAGCAACTCCATGCAGGGGAGAAGCTGAGTTTTTCACTGGACATGTAGGTGAAGAAAAGGCAGTTGAAGATGGCTCCAGCATTCTGTGTCTATCTTTTTTTTTAATTTTTAATTTTAATTAATTTATTTTTTCCCCCCAAAGCCCCAGTAGATAGTTGTATGTCATTGTTGCACATCCTTCTAGTTGCTGTACGTGGGACGCGGCCTCAGCATGGCCAGAGAAGCGGTGCGTCAGTGCTCACGCGGGATCCGAACCCGGGCCTCCAGTAGCGGAGGGCGTGCACTTAACCGCTAAGCCACGGGGCCGGCCCCAAGCGTTCTGTATCTTGAAGATGAGGAATCTAGATGAGATAGTGACACCCAAGGTGAGATTTGGGTGCTCTCAGCACAGAGGAAATAGCTGAAACACGGAAGATGATTTTTCCATGTAGAAAGAGAAGTTCAAACTTTGGAAGTCATACCCAGTTTGGGAGATGGAGAAAGAAAGTTAAACTATGGTGACTTGGGGAGGTAAACGGAAAGCTGAAATAGTGCGGGCTTAAGTAGGCTCATGGAGGAAGAACAGTTTCAAGAAGGATCATCAATACTGTCAGCTGTGGCTTGGAGGTCATAGAGAACACGATCTAAAGTTGATTTGATTTGATTTGATGGAAAAGCCATCATTTGGTTAATGTTAAGAGTATAGCTTTAGGAGGGAGGTAGGGATGGAGTAGCACTGGATAGGAGCCACTTCCACCTCAGGGGTCATTAACAGGCATTAATAGGAAAACAATTTGGCTTATAGTCAGCAGTGTTGTGTTTAGATCCTAGTAGCCAGTCACTAATTTTGCAACCTATCCAAAATAAGCCTTCTCCAAAATAAGGATAGTAATACCTCTCATATAGGTTTATTGTGGGAGTTAGAGAAAATGTTTGTAAATCACCTAGCCAGAGTCTGGTACATAGTAGGTGCTCAGTAGGTATTTGTTGCTTGGATGGCAAGTGACCCTGGGGGTTAGGAAAGCAGATCTTCATGCCCTCTTCTCTCCTTTGGAAAGGCAGAAGAGAGGCAAGTTCTAGCACAGTGGGAAGGAAGACGCCACATTAACTTAGAGAGGGTTCCGTTGATGCTAGTTAATGAATAAAGTACCTTATTCTCCTTCTTCAGGAACATTAGCATCTGAGCAGAGTAGCAAAGGAGAAATGCATGATGGTTGCATATGGTGTCACCAACTGAGTTACAGAACTTAGGAGAGGAGAGGTTTGGGGTGGAATGATAACGAGTTTGCTTTTAGACCTGTTGATTCTGAAATATCTGTAAGACATGTAGATTGAGATCTTCAGCAGGCGGTTGGATATATGATTTTGACGATCTGGCCAATGGTCTGAAATTGTGATATTAAATTTGTTATAAAGCATTATTACAGTTTTTTAGATTGATATCTTAATAGTTTATAACATTGTGAAATTTTGGTTGTACATTATCGTTTGTCAGTCACCATATAAATACCTCCCTTCACCCCTTGTGTCCACGCCCCAACCCTTTTGCCCCTAGTAACCATCATACAGGTTCTCTCTGTCCGTGTGTTGGTTTATATTCCACATATGAGTGAAATCACTCGGTGTTTGTCTTTCTTTCTCTAGCTTATTTTGGTTAACATAATACCCTCCAGGTCCATCCATGTTGTTGCAAATGGGATGATTTTGTCTTTTTTTTATGGCTGAGTAGTAGTCCATTGTATATATATATACCACATCTTCTTTATCCAATCATCAGTCAAGGGACACTTGGGTTGCTTCCACTTCTTGGCTATAGTGAATAATGTTGCAGTGAACATAGGGGTGCATAAGCCTCTTTGGATTGTTGATTTCAGGTTCCTTGGACAGATACCCAGTAGTGGGATAGCTGGATCACAGGGTTTTAAATCTGTTCTCCTACATTTCTATTCCTTTGTAGAGCCTGAACTAAACTGTCAATATAAATGTGTTCTATATCTAAAGACCACAAAATGATAAAAGAAACCCCTTTTCTTTTCTCTGCTGCAGAATTCCACAAGACTGCTCCACTCCTACCCTTCACAATCTGTGCGCCACTGTCCCAGCCCGGGAGCTGCCCATTGACCTGCGCCTGGCTTCTCGAGTATATCATACAGCCGACAAGAAAGGTCACCGTCCTCTGCGGGGAATATTTGTAACCTCTTTCTCAGGCAATCCCTTGACAGATGAAGAACAAAGAGACAGGTAAGAGTTCCACTGGTAGTTTTGCTTTAAAATTGATTTAAACTGTCAAAGACATTCTGCCTTTGAGATTTAGATTTTGGAGACTTGATTCTGTTCTTGGACACTAGAGAGGAGCAGTTTTCATCCTTTTCCATTCCTTCCCAGGACGTACACTGTCTAGGTCAGTGTCTTCATTTCCTGCCGTTATTTACGTGAACCATGCCCTGTCGTAAGGTAACTTTAGTTTAGTGGTTTATAGTTTCCAAAGAGTGTCACATACATTGTCTCATTTGTTCTTCATTACAACCCTGTGGAGTACAGATGTGGAAATCGAGGCTCATAAAAATCAAGCAACTTTGCCAGGCTCATACCACTAAAAAGATCACAGATTTGGGAGCTGAAGCCAGTCTTTTAGATTTTACCATCATTGGGCATACTTGGGTCCAGTGACCGTGAACAAAAGTCAGTGCCTCTGGAGTTTCTTCCATTTCTCCTTGTGTCTCACTTTCCTTTGGAATCTGAGTATTCTTTTGTGGAGGGTATATCATTTATAGCATCCTCAAAAGACAGGAGAGAGGAGAAGGGGCTAACATTTATTTAGCAGTAACTATATTCCTAGCACTGTGCTGTGTGCTTTGCATCTTTCCTATTGAAATATTCAACTGTAAGGGAGAAGTCGTAATTTCTGATTTATTCATGAAGAAACTTAGCCTCCATAATATCAGGATACTTGCCCAAGTTCTTATCTCTGGATAGTGATTAGAATCCAGATGTGTCTAACTTAGTTTTTCTCAAACTTTTTTTCATTATCACCTCCTTAAGGAGGCTTTTTAGACATTTTTTTCCTAATTGCCCCTCCCCAGTAAATTGTAATACCCCAGATATACTGTACATCTGTTTATGGCACTGTATCTGTGTTTTATACATAAAAAGACTTACCTTTTATCGCCCCCCCCAAGGCACCAATTTTCACCCCCTTGGGGGTGATATCACTTGCTCATTGAGAACACCTTTCAGAAGAACTGGTGGAAATCCTGAAAAATCATCTATTGCACGTTTTAAGAATATTAAAAATATTAACTATTAAGATAAATTTAAGGAGAAATATTTTCAGTATTATATTTTAACTCGTCTAGATAAATGAGAATAATATTTTAAAAGATCACTTTTACTTATACTATCACAAAATTATTGGTTACTTACCATTCTTTTCATGGTATGTTCTGAGCCCATTTCCTCAAACTTGACTTGTAGTAAAAATTCTAATCCTTTACTGTATTCTTTCGTGGTTTTAAAGCATCTGGTTTCCCTCTGTTTAGTAATCACAATGAGATTCAATTTGAATCCCTAAAGAAGGTCATTCTCATGTTTATTTTCTATTTAGGCAAAAAATTTTTTTTTAGGATTTCTCTTATTCATAATTTTATACATCTAAGTCTTTCAGTTTTAATTTATCCAGTCAGTTTGCTAAGTTTTTGAAAAAAATTATACATGAAGAATGTTAGAAATTTCAAAACTGTTCCAGTATCTCTGGTAGAAAATAGCAGTTGGTGTGACATTCTTTGGCATGTCTTTTAAAAGCCTAAAGCTGAGAGTATAAAGACAAATGTAATCTAGGAGTCATGAAACTACTATTTTGAGTCATTTCCATGAGCACTCTGCAAGCCACGCATCATTTTGAGGATTTACAGCTTCTTTTATTCGTGCAAAGTGTTAAAAATTCTGTTTTCTTTCCAGTTCTAAAATTTTTTTTCTTCAAGTAGATCTCACTTTCTTTTTCCAAGAGAGTCAATAAATGTTCTATTTGATGATGCTAATTCTTGGCAATTTGTTCCTAAGTACCAAATAAGAAGTTAATTTAGGTACTGAATATTTAATTCTCTGGCATCCATCTCTTGAGGATTACCTTGCTAAACATAGCTTAACCTTTTCAAAATATATCTGTCTGCTGAGCCTACAAGTTTGGAGAAATGTATAATTTTTTCTGCTCTAATAAGTGTTCTCAAAAAAAGTAACTGTAAACACAAAATGAATATCCTTTTACTTGGTGGCTTTTTGGTTTTTCTGTGCAATCAACAGTTAACTACAAAGCATAATAATACTTGTGGTTATACAGTTTAATGATTTCCTAATTCTGCATATAGTAATTGTTACTTGTGCCAAACACCAAGGATATTTCAGTGGAATAGCATGGGTACATAGTTAAGTTTATATAAAATACCAATGTACTATTCAAACTTATGTTTATTTTGCTAAACAGCAATTTTGATGAGAACTATAAAAATATTCCATATTGATCATATTTTTACTTTTAAAATTTCTGTACTGTAAAGAGAAGTTTATAGGCCTTTGGTTAGAATTCTTAGCATGGAATTTTATATTTTACGTTTTAAAATAGGGGAAATCATTAGAAGTATTTAAATACAGATTAATGTTAACAGTTTGGTGAACAGCCTTCTGAACATCTCTTGTATGTACATGTGTTTAAACTCTACATGGCATTCTATAGACTGAATTTTTTCACTCAAGATTATGTGTGAACATTTAAATTATTTCATAATATTCACTAACTTAACCAAACTGCAATGTAAGAATATTCCTAAGTGTGGCATTATTTATTAAATTTTTTGGCTAAAAAATTTTGATGCATATTCCTGGCTTTTTCTCCACAAAAAGTATACCAACTTATACTCTTATCAACAATTTATGACACAGTTCATTTCCTTTCACCCTTGAGAAACTACTAATTGTCAGTCTTCTTGATTTTCCTGATCTGATGAGAAAAAATATCTCTTTTTTTATTCATTTCTAGTAGGGTTGAGCATATTTTTAGATGTCTCTTGGCTATTTGCTCTTCTCCTTTTGAGAATTACCAATTCATATTGTGTTGAGTCATCATTCATCTTTCTCTTATTGATTTATAAGTGATCTTTTTATATTAAAGGTTTTAATTATTTGTCATATACATTGTAGACTTTTTTTTACTTTGTTGTTTGCTTTACAGTTTTGTTTATGATGTCTTGGTGCTATACAGAAGTTTTAATTTTATGTAGTAAAACTGGCAATCATTTTCTTTATGTGTTCTAGACTTGGTGTCATTCTTAGGGCTTTTCTATATTTAAATTTAAATGTATTCTCTCATAAATTTTATGGCTCTCTTTTAAAAAAATAAATCTTTGATCTACCTGTAATTAATTTGATAATAAGAATAAGCATTGTTATTTTCCCCAAATGACTAGCCAATTGCACAATATCATTTATTCAATAAATCCTCTTTTCCTCACTAATTCGAAATGCCAAGTTTTCACACCTTAAATTCCAGTGTGTTATTGAGTCTATTTATGAACTTGTATTCTATTTCACTGATTTGTCTATGTAAAATTGCTTGTGTATTTTGTTAATCCATCATCAGTAGAGAGTTGGCAAAAATACTATCCTACAAACCTTGGCTGACCTTCTCAAGTCAGGTACCCCGTATAGCTGGCTTCCTGGTGTAAGCAGGGCTTCAGCTATAGATTCCAGACCTAACCCTCAACTCAGCTTCAAATTACAAGGAAATTTCTAGTCACATTAAAAAAAATGTGGACAGACTGTTAGTTCTGTCCGTTAAGACAGGAGCAACTACTACAACAACAACAACAGGAAAACCAAAGGTTAAGTGTCAGAATTCAATGTTTAATTTGATTTATTATTTTGTTACAAAATAGTAGTAAAAATACAATATTTTAGCAAAGATGCAAGAAAATGCACAAAAAACCCCTCCCAGTTACTCAAAATCTTGCCATCCAGCGATATTACTGTTTACGCTCTTAAATATATGATTCCTGACTTTTCTGTATGCAAATAATAAATCATATAGAACAAAACTGGGATAATGCTATGTACATATTGTTTTGTAACCCGATTTTTAACACTCATTATGTTTTATATATCTTTCCACTTCAAGAAATACAGATCTGAATAATCACTTAAGTCAATCAACAAATATTTTTTTGTGTACCCGCTATGTGGCAGTCGTAGAATTAGGCACTAGGAAGCATCAGCAAACAAGAGAAATATAATCCCTACCCTTGGGGAACTTGGAGGCTAGCAGAGAAGAAAGGTGGTGAATCAATTATGGTGAATGTGACAATTAATATGGAGACACGCAGAGTGCTAAGGAAACATGTAAGAAGAGTTCCTGATTAGCTGGGGAGGTTTAAGGAACTGACATTTAAATTGAAACCCGAAGAATGAATGGAAGATAGCTAGGAGGAGGGGAAAGAATGCTTTTTAGATTCTTGCTACTCAAAAGTGTGGTCCACAGACTAGCAACATCAACTTCAGCTGGGAATGTGTTAGAAAGGCAGATGATTCATATACACATTGAAGATTCAGAGTCTCTTCTGTGGACAGTTGGAACCCATCTGAGAGTTGGAAAGAAGTCCAGCATGAGAGAACAGTGATAGAGTCGAGGCTGGACAGGAGGCGGGAAGTCAGTCATGTAGGATTTTATATATGCCCTGCATGTGTATGTGAGGGTGTGTGTGTGACCTTTTGGGGGACAGATTCTTTTTTTTTTTTTTCTCTAATGTGAAATTTTTGTTGTACATTATTGTTTGTCAGTCACCATATAAATGCATCCCTTCACCCCTCGTACCCACCCTCCACCCCCCTTGCCCCTGGTAACCACCAAACAGTTCTCTCTGTCCATGTGTTAGTTTATCTTTGGGGGAGAGATTCTTATTCACAGTGTATTGGGAAGCCATTGATGGGTTTTTTTGAGGAAGAATGACATGATCAGATTTGCTTTAAGATATCACGGTCCTCATCTTGACTTCTCAGTAGCATTTGACACAGTTGATCACTGGCTCTTCCTTAAAACACTTTTATCCCTTGTGTTTCAGGACCGCTTTCTCTCTTGGTTCTCCTCCTGCCTCCCTGGCTATGCCTTCTCAGTCTCTCTCGCTGGTGTCTTCTCGTCTGTTGATTTCAAAACATTGGAGTGCCAAGGGCTTGTCCTAGGACATATTTCCCCTCTA